CCCAGGCGCTTCCTGGCAGGACAGGTAGGTTCCATCTCTCCGCAGGGTCTGTTCAAGGCATGGTCTGTGTGCCCCCTGGCCAGCTGGGGCCCAGCAGCAGTGGTTCTTTCTGTCATTTGGAGACAGAATTTGGCTGTTGCTCAGGTAATGGGTGACCTTCACCGTGCTTTTCGTGCAGCTGAATAAAGCCTTCCTTGTACACTGGAGGGGACTTATACCATTCTTGGAACCTCAAGCATCAAAAGATGTCCATTGTCAATAATGGCAGCTCCAAGAGTGTAAAATTGACTAGAAAAATTGGAGGATGAAGTTCCTGGGACACCCTCTCTGTCATTCCAAATAGGAACCAGTGGTCTGGCCCCCAGAAGTGTCCCCGATGCTCTTCACTGCTGTCCATGCCATCCCAGGAGCAGTTTCTAAGTTGACTTAGAAAGTTTTGTGTTGGCTCCTGCAGGGCAGGGATGCCCTCGCTTTGGCCTCAGGCAGGGGAAGTGGTTGCTGGGCCCTTGAGGGCACTTCTGAATGTTTGCAGAGGCTGAGCCTGAACAGAGATGCCCTCCCCAAATCTGCCCTACGAATCTGCCCTGCGGACCTGCACTCATCCCTGCCTCCAGTGGGACTTGATCGTTCCAGGAAACGCATCAGTTTCAGGAGCTTTGTCAAAGCAAATGTGTTTCTAGTTCAACTTGGCAGCCCAGGTCCTGGAAAGACTGGAAAATTTTCTACCTCCGGCCCCTTGGACCTGATGTTTTCTAAAATAGGTGTGCAGGGATGGTTTCCAAAGCCTGCCCAAGCCTCTGGAAAGTTCTACATTTTGGTGGGTGCCACAGAAATGCTGGTGCTGCTGGAAGGCACAGAGACAGGGATCAGGCAGCCCAGCTTGGCTTGGTCTGGAGGACCTTCCTTTGAGACGTCACATTCAAAAGGCTGTTAGCAAGGGGCGTCAGTTTCTAACCACATGGACACATCCAGCATCTTGCTTGAGTAGCTTCATGAAATGTAAGCAGATTTCACCCAGAGGGAGGGTTCAATCCCTCCCTGATGATTGAGCCTGGGACTGACACCCATCATTTGGGCACTATCTCACTGGTTACACGTGTCATCTCCTTCAGTGGGAAGGGGTTGACACAAGGGCATGCACACTGGGATGGAGATTAGTGAGAGCCATGTTGGGGCTGCCACCAGGAAAATGCACTCACTGTTCCAGACCTGAACCAAAGCTGTTGCTCTATACCTCGGCACTCAGGGCAAGCAGACTGGGTTATTCGCATGTGCCCACTTTTTTTTTTCACATGTCATTACATCCCTGTAATTTGTATTGCAAACATCTCCCCTCCCTTCTCTCTGTATAGTTTGGAGCCTCACTGAACCTTGATTACTGCAGTAGCCTTCTTCCAAATTGGTCTCTCAGATAATCTTATTCACCCAGGCCAATCCCTGAGTATTCCTTATAAAACTAGAATTCAATTATGCATGGATTAAGGTGTGTGCTTCCCCCTTCCATGCTGCAAACACACACACACACACACACACACACACACACACAGTTCCTAACACCCATAAAAGCCAAACATGACACTTATTCTAGTAAGTCAGAGAATTTAGAATGTGCTAATATGTGAACTAGAATGAAGCCTAAGGATGATCTAAGTTAACATTTTTCAGGGAGTATTCCAGAATAAATTTCAGAATCGCTACCTGGGAAATTTGTTAAAAATGCAGACTTCCAGGCTCCCTCCACCTGACCAAACTAATTTTCTTGGAGCAGATCTAAGTGTGCATTGGGAAGCCACTTTCCCAGTTGGTTTTATGCACAGTAATGACTGAGAGTCCCCTGATCTACATTCAACAGATGCTGCTGAGATGTGAGGAGGACTAGACCGCTCATTAGCAGCAGGTCTAGAGAATTCGAAGTTAAATCCAGACCCACTGCCTCCACGTTCATCATCTCACTGCCCTGCACTTTGACAGCTGATGTGGAGGACCTGGGAGGATATGGCCGCAGGACGCAACAGTCTCCTCAGCTCTGGGGAGCAGAGCATGGTCCTGGCAAATAAGAAGCTCACACATTATCGGGGAGGTGAATGTATGTTCAGCAAACTAACATGGTACAGTGAACACAATATGGAAGCAGAGCACCTGGACATTCAGACCAGGAGTAGTGGGGGTGGGGTGGGGGGAGGGCATTAGTTATTAGCAGGGCTAATAAAGCCCAGGAAGTGTTCACTAACAAAGTGTCTAGTCACTGACTAAACTGGCTGGTTTCTCAACATAGTCTGGCTCATTGTAACAATATAGAGAGCTCTTTGTTCATAGACCTTAATCTGTTGCCAAAATGTTTGTACCTTATGTTCCCATTTCTCAAGGATTTCTGGTCAAAACTGTGCACCCACATCCTCCTAATGAACCAAGTGTCCAACAAAACAAAGATTTTTGGTCTCCTTGTGAAGGCCATTGTGTCTTCATAGGACCTCTCTGTCCAGGAACATCCCTAATGAGGTACAGAAAGGCACTTACCACCCAGACACAGACATTCCGCTGCTGTGAGAACCGCAGACGGAAGTTTTCTCTGCCTCCTGGAGACGAAGCCAAGCTTTCTCCTCGCGGAAGCCATGAGGATTGCTGTCTTCCTCTGGACCATTCTTCTCTCTCTGAGCCAAGTTCCACCAGGTAACCAAATGAACTCTGCAGAGCCTTGGTAAGGGCGAAGTGCCTGGACCTCATGGGGATCCAGTGCTCAGAGCAGAAGTCTGTCACCTGTGCCCTGTGGAGGGTCTCATAGCAAACTTGGAAGACCTGTTGGCTGAGAGCCCTCAACCACTTACCTGCAGCCACGTCTCTTTAGTTCTTCATAGCCACTCAGATGAAATGAAATTGAGGATGTTTCAAGTGCTTGAAACCTTATCTTCTCCATTTCTAAAAATAAAATTAATTAGGCAAATTTACTAGCAGTTTCTAAACCTAGATAACAAACAAAACAAAAACAATTGGTGAGTTATCCTACTAAACGTGGCCTCCAGAAATCCTCCGCTTACTTTCAGCAAAAGGTCTGCAGAGGCCCAGTTACCCTAAGATGCTGGCATGAGAGCTACACAAGAGCTGTAGGGCCCCAGGCAGAAGGGATTAGTGAGGGGGGGAGTATTTTAAAGGTGTACTGTGTGTCTAAGAATTCTCCAACTTGTGCCTCCATAATGTTCGTCCCCTGGGCTTGGCTCTGCCCAGTGATGCTCCATCTCCACACTTGGCTTTTCCTCTTCCTTTTCAACATCTAGTTAAACAAAAGAATCAGAGACTACACTGCCCTAGAGTGTATCTTCCTGCACTCAACATGCACAGGTGCATCCCAGGTGCGAAGCATCTGTGGGCATCTCCTTGCTTTCACCCAAGGAGATGACCAGACACCCAAGATAGACCAGGAAATTCCCTACAACTCCTGGGTGTGTAGGCTCTTGGGTGTGTAGAATAAGCAACCTATTGTTCTAGATCTAGTGGAATATCTTATCTTTTCCTGAGAATTCAGGCCCTCAAGGGTCAGGGAGGAGTATCCAAGTAGTCAGACGTGTAAATGTGGACAATCCTCTTATATTTTAAGGAATTGTTGGTTGATATGCTTTCTCCTGTTTGAAAAAAGACACTTCCCCAATTTTTCAACAGAAAATATGCTCGGGGGCATGCCCATTCTTGGTGAATCCAGACTTGCCTGTCAAAATCCGTGTTTTAAAGGAATACTTACTGTGAACAGGTAGATAGTACTTTGGGTTTGGGAGGTTGTGGGTGCAGCTTGTGAGGCAAATATCAACTCGTTTTTAGAACTACTCTGGAGGTTGCAGTTGGGGGAGACTGGAGGTGGGAAAACTGTTCTATTTCTCAGGTATTTGCTAATTAAGCACCGCTGTGCACCCGTACTAGGAAGCAGCATATGAGGGGAAAAGGATGTGATGGCCCTTCGCTTCCACAAAGTCACAGGTTGGCCACCTTCATTGCCAGGGAACAAAAAGCCCCAAACACAGCATTTGCATGTGGTGGAGGAGAGGTTTCCTACATGGGACCTTTAGAAAATGACTAAAAGAAAGGTAAATCAAGAACAATGTGATATTTGAGAGCCCAGGTCCTGAGCCTTAGGGGACCTGACTGGGAGTCAGAACCATGGCACCTGTTTAGTACTAAGAGTGCTTGAGGCTCCCTGTCCACCTGACTCTCCCTCAGTGACAGTCTGCGTGTGTGTGCACGTGTGTGAAAGTGTGTATCTGTTTATGTGTGGAGTGTGCTGACTACCCCACACTCTATAAGGGAATGAATGGCCCCAAAAGTAAGAAAAATACCCTGAATGTTACTTGGCTTCTTACACACACAGGTAACAGTGGGCCATATTTTTATAGAGCTCCTTTGTGATTTAAAAGGAAATGTTCAGTTGTCAATTGCCACAAAACAGCACACTTACCTCCAAGATGTGTGCCATCAAAGTGACAACACATGTCTGTACCAACATGCTAAAGGATAAAAAATAGCTCTGTATTAACCAAGTATTGCACAACTGTTCGCTGAATGCCTATGATGTGCCAAGACTTGAGCTGAGCTCTGGGATATACATACAGAAAAGAGTAAGGTGTTCATCACCCAGCAGTGGGGTCAGGTGGAGGCAGGACAGCAGAGTAGAATGCAAGACGTGCCCCAATAGAGGGACATCTCAGAGTGACTTCTAACATGTCACAGGACATGCCAGTGCTTCATCTTCTCATATTCTAAACTCAGATGACCCTTCTAGTGGCAACGGGCCATTTCTAGCCCAATTTCACTGGGGTCCATCTACACAGTAGTTGAGCTGGTTGCAGACAGAGGAAGAGATGTGCAGCCCAGGGAATGAAAAACTCAGATTCCAAGTGATTGCTACACAGTGCTCAACAATGACAATGGTCACTGATTTAAAAACAACAATATACCCTTAAATTATTTCTGAATTTATACAGTGAAAATATGATGTTGCATATTTGATCTTCATAGCCATTAACCGATTGCTTTGTGAACACTGAAGAGATAAATTCAATGTAATGCGTCTGGGTTTCGAGAGGTATTTTCTGGATGTATATAAACGCTCTATAATGATTAGAAGCTATCCAAGAACTGGACTTTGGTTCCAGAATAAGGAGACCTGGGCACGCTGGCGTTGATACCTCTTACTCTCATTAGCAGTCCTGGGCTGATTTAAAATGAAACCCAACCTGTGCATCAGAATGAGGAGCTACTCAGGAGTGAGAAGGGTGGGAGAAGCTGGTGCTTCTGCCTGGAACTGCCAAAGGGGCGCAGCTCCCCAGTCTGGCCTGTTATTACTTAGACACACCCAGCAATGCCAAGAATGACTACCCCACACTCTATAAGGGAATGAATGCCAAGAATTCATTCCCCCCAAATGCCAAGAATCCAAATCTTTGTGGGAAAGCAGATTTTTAAGTGTTGGCTTTAGGACTCAAACAGCAACAGCAATCAACACAACATAATTTCGAGACACGCTCCCTCTCTGTGTGCTTCAATAGACTTCAGAGAGATGACTCAATAGTTACAATAACCCTCTTCTCTGTGCAGCCGGGGGCAAATTCAAGGAGATCTGTGAGCGTCCAAACGGCTCCTGCCAAGTATTCTGCCTCGAAACAGAAGTCCAGGCTGGGAGATGTCTAAGCGGCAAGCCGTGCTGCCTGCCCATGGGACATGAACCACGGATCGACCCGACGATACCCCCTCAGTACTGAGGCCTTTCAAAGGGTTTTGCTTGTTTGGATGTTTCATTCTCTGGTTCTCCATCCCCATCTCTCACTGTCTTGTCTGTCACAGGGATTCTTGCTGAGTCCTCAATAAATAATAAAGAAGCACTCGCAAACACAGAGCCACTGTGTACACCCATGTGCTCTATTCTCGCTGCAGTGCTGTCTGGTCGCATTTTTCCATCTAGTCTGCATGAGCTCCTGGCTCAGTTTCAGGGGGACACTCAGTTTCATGGGGACACTTTCATTCTCCCTACCCTTTGTGCCCAGCCCGGCCCCCTTTAGCCTTCACTGGGGGGCTGCTTTCCCCTTGGGAAGATGCTTGACCTTGTTCCCTGGGGTTCTGTCCCTGATGGAGGGACAGGTACCCTGCAGTCAGACCTCCCCAGTCAGTGAACAATCATCAGAATCCTGCACCAGGGACAGAGTCACAGCTGAGAAAACATCCTGTCCTCACGCTTCCCCAAGGCAGTGAGCACTCAGGGCCTCTCCATGTGCTCCCAGCTGAGACTAGATTCATTGGGCCCCACCTTCCACCAGGCCTGGCCACAGCTTCCCTTGCTCCCTTCCCTCTCCTCCCCGCTGGGAACAAGGGCTTCAGCCTCCTCTGCCTACCCTGAAAATGACCGCAGACCCAGGGGCTTGAGGCACAACAAGGAGTTTTGTAGTGCAGAAGTCTGACATGTATCTCAAGGCTAAATTAAGGCTCAGTGGTCTGGGCTGCATCCCTTTCTAGAGACTGTCTTGACATTAATGGGGAGTTGCTGCTGTTCGTCACCAGTCACCAGGCTTCATCCATCTTTAAAGCCAGCGATGGGCATCTCTCCTTCTCACCTCCTAACACTTCTACCTCCGCTCCCCTTTGGGACCCCTGTGATGCCACTGGCCCATCTGGGTAAGCTGGATAACCTCCCTGCTTTAAGGCGATGTGATTGGCAACTTTAATTCTACCTTCAACTCCTCGGCTGTGTCAGGTGATACAGTCATAGTTCCAGGGATGAGAATATGGCCTTCTTTGCCAGAGGAGGTGTGACACTATTTTACCTACAATAGCCACCGAAGATTTCCCCCACACATCAGTCACCCATTTGGTCTACTCTGAGATGGTTTTAGTTACTTTGTGTAGAGAAACCATCATTGTTAGAGTTTTCTTTTGGGTGAAAAGTCATAGAGCCTCCCTTGGTCATGGGAAGAGGATAGAATCAATGCATATATTTTTCTTCTGTCTCCAGAAGTTAGCCCTCTTTTTAACTGAAAGTCTGTGCCCTTTGACCATCATCTCTCCAATTCCTACCACCCCCACCCTCACCCATCCCCTGCTCTCCTCTCTGTTACTATGAGTGCCACTGTTTTAGATCCTGCATGTACGATCACACAGTATTTATCTTTCTGGGTGTGAATTAGTTCACCTAGTATAATGTAAAGTACAGCCTAGGGAATCTCTCTATATAAAACCCTTATAATGGAAATAGATGGAACGGTGAAACAACCAAACAACCAGTCGCTATAACATGTGCTGACCACCAGGAGGTGCACGCGGAACATGGCAGGCATTGGCAACAGGCCGGCAGAGTGTGAAACATGGTGGGCGTTGGCTGCAGTGAGATGGTGGAGCAGGTGAGCGGGGGCGCCAGACCAAGGTTGCTGTCATGGGGCGAGCCTCTGGTGGTTACTGAAAATCCCTTGCTCCTGCATGCCAGGGTCCTGCCCGGCACCTGTCCAGGACTTCTCCACCTCCCTCTGCTCCTGAGGAGTGTTTGGGGCAGCGGCCACTGATTGCGTCTGCTGCTGGCGCTGGCCCCAGTCACTTTGCACTGTCAGTGGGTGCAAGCGGGGCCAACACCTGCAGTGCATGGGAGCGGCAGTGGTGGGAGTGGGGCTGCCAGCAGACGGGACCAGGGGCAATAGGGGGAGGGCACCGAGGATGGGCTGAGACCTTCCCCTGTGCCCACTGCAGCCTCATGGCTCACAGTTCCCTTCAAGGTGCACGAATTTCTGCACTGGGCCCCTAGTATAGTTCATAATATTGCATAACTATGGATGATGCCAGATGGGTACTGGACTTATGGGGGGGGGTCACTTGGTACGTTATATAAATGTCTAATCATTCTGCTGTGCATCTGAAACTAATATAATATTGTATGTCAATATTATAATTGAGAAGTTAGAAAAAAAAACCACTAAGAATAAAAAGGAATTTGCTATATCTCTCCAGCCAGAACATGGCCTTCCAGAGTAACCCTAGCTCCCACCCCCATAACTTCCTGTACCTCTGCAGCTTGGAGGAGATCCAGTCATGCAGAAAAACCTACACTGTTCTCCCTCTCAGTCCCAAGTATAAATCAACGGGCACCATTTCTGAAACAGGAAGGCATTCTGTCTGGCTTGGCTCCTGACCCATGCCTATAACCCAAACTATCCCCAGGTTCATTCAAGTCAGCTGCAACCTGATGGCCTTAGAGCCAAACCTAAGCCCTAAGAATTGTCCATATAAATAGAAACAAGCAAACAGAGGAACTCTGCAGGAGGATTTAGATGCTGTAAACCACAGTTCTCAACTGGAGATGCTTTTGCTCTAGCACCTAATTGGTAATGTCTGGAGACACTTTTGGTTGTAACAACCAGGAGGGTGCTAGTGGCATCTGTGGGCTGAGGCCACGGATGCTATCAACAACCCTACAATGTGCAGGCATGGCCTTTAGGCACAATTATCTGCTCCAAGTGTCCACAGTGCTGAGGTTGAAAAACTCTGCTCCAGGCGGTGACATACGAGAAGCAACAGAAGGGGACAGATGCCTGGCCTCAAGGGCACCTCTCCTAGGAAACCCATGTCCCTTCTGCACCCATCCTCCTGCCTCTACTCCCCAAACACTGCACCTTAACTCAGGGGCAGGCCGCATCTGACAGTCACTCTTGGACATTCTAGCATCTTGGTTGATGTTGTCATCCTTACGGATTGTTTCTCTTTTGTTTTTGCTTCTACCCCCTTTTCAGGGAGTAACACACATCTGGGACAATTAGCAACAGATCCAACTGCCCAAAAGAATCTGACTTAGTTATTCCCCAGGTCCAGACCAACTCATGAAACAGTTTCCGTGGGCTACTTCAAACCTGCCAAAGCAATCCCAAATGAGCTTGCAACCTACTCATGTTGAACATTTGAGTGTCAAAAATAAGGCCAACTAAGACATTGCTTCTACTGTGTCACTTTTTCCTTCTTCTACACCATGCTCCTTGGTGACATGGGGACCAGGACCCTGCATTTATTTCCCAGACTCCTTTGCCGCGTGGCTGGGAGAGCTTGGATTCTGGAGACGAGGGAAGGGTCTTCCTTCCTCATTTTCATTCCTGTCGCCATTGTCACAGCAGTAACTGCTCACTACAGCCACCACAGTTGACTCCTGTCCACCTTCTCATGGTGCTCTACAACTCATCTCATGTCTTCCAAAAGGTCTCTTCTCAGAGCGCCAGAGGCACTGACGGCAGTTGGGAAGGTGGCCTCCCGGGGGAGCCCTCCTAGACAGCATGGAGGGCTGGATGCTGCCACCTGCTGTTGTCTCCGCACTCCCTAACGCTAACCCTAACCTCAACACCTGTGCAACAATCCTGGCTTAAATCCCCTCTGTTCTGACCAATCCAGCTGATACCCCTTTGCTTATCCTGTGGCTGCTGCTCACACAATGACTACATCGTACCGCTGTGTGTAGGACACACAGCTCTAGTTACCTGTTGAACAGGTGGTGAGGAGCATTGTAGACTGGAATGCACCACTCACAGCTGATAGGGTGGGTAGGTGTTAAATACCTGAAGACAGACTCTAGAGGATCTACTAGTAAAACAATAAACAGTCAGGCCAAATTTGGAATGTTAAATACCTGAAGACAGACTCTAGAGGATCTACTAGTAAAACAATAAACAGTCAGGCCAAATTTGGAAGACAGGTTCTACTCTAAACATCATACATGTGACATATAATTCAATTTCTATTTTCTCCAGAGCATAAGAACAGGCTACATATTTCTTCCAAGACCCTCAATAATTCTAAGTGGAAAGAGCACAGACAGGCATATTTGATCCTAAAGCAATGCAAATGGAATTTAATTACAAATAATAAAATATTTCAAAAACATTCTTAATAATTCGAAAGGAAATGATAAAGAAACTACTCTGAATACTGATTTGCTGATCGTATATATTTAAATATATAGATATATAAGATAATCTAAAGTAACTCCTACCAAATAGGTAGGGTTATTATATTAGACAATATAAAATAGAAAATTTTATTCAACTTGTGTAATTCTGACAATGACTGTGTTCTACAGTGTATCTATTTAAACATAATTTCCACATTTCTCTTTCCTTTAATAACAAAGGATCATCATCCCCCTCCACCACTTCCCCCACTCCACACACTTACAAACTCAAAATTATTTTAGGGAAAAACAGGGGCTGAGAAATGAACTCATAAAGATTGAGCATTAACCTAAAAGAGACAGAAATTCAAAAGAATTTGTTTTAACAATAAAGACTGAGATAGAACATACGTTTTCTTTATACATATGAATAAATTTGCCTTGATAAAAAATGCTTTAAAACATCTATCAGCACATTGCATAATAATGAAATAGAAGAAGTTAGTTTTAAAATAAGAATTTCCTATTAGATACCATTATTTAAAATTGTTCCAGAAATTCTAGGTCCCAAAATTAGTCAATAGAAGGGAACAAAAAGAAGTAAAAGCTAAAATTGAAATATATTTTTCAATATTTGATAATGCTATTTTGTTTTTAATCCTCACCTGAGGATATATTTTTTATTGATTTATAGAGAGAGTGAAAGAGAGAGAGAGAGAGAGAGAGAGAGAGAGAGAGTTCTAAGCAGCAATCTTTTGGTGTAGGGGATGATGCTCCAACCAACTGTGACACCTGGCTAGGAGCTGACAATGCTAGTTTTTAACAATGGAAAAATATCACTGAAAATCTTTATGACCCACAGAATGGCAGCTTCTGACTTGAGCCCCAAGAATCCCCATCTCCAGTCTTCTTGCCCTGTATCATGCCCTCCTCTGGACTGTGGGGTGGACCTAGTGGCTTGCTTCTAATGAACAGAATATGGCACCAGTGATAATCTATCTCTGACCTGTGACTGAGCTTT